TTATATTATATTATATTATATTATATCATATTATACTATATTAAATATTCTTGAATGGGTGTTCTTCAATGTAATTTCATTGTGCTCCATACAACAACAATAAAGGCATTGTTTTCTTTAGTTTTGCATAAAACTTTTTAAAAAATATTTGTACATTTTTAAAATATTTTTTAATTATGACAAGCATGAATTAAAGTGATTCTTTTTGGTGCATTTTGTTATTAGATGTTTACAGAGATGGTTGCATAGTGTGARATACTGGAGTAATTGTTAAACACTTTGCACTATTGCACCTAAAGTACCACATGTACTGAAGAAGGAACTAATTCTGTATAAATACATCCATTTTTTAATTAATTTAACAATTTATGGCACAAATATTTGAGGATGATTGTGCAGGGTTGTGTTCTTGTTTTTGTTTTAAATTCATGGGGAAATTGTTCTGTTATCTTTTAATGAATGCAGTTTGTTTTGCAGCTTAAGGACAGTTTAAGTATAAATGCAGGTGGGATTTTTGTATCAAAGATCATCTTCTGAGAACAGAGTGCTCAATAAAGATGGTGTGAACCAATCAGCTGAGAGACTGAATAAAGTTGAATAAATGGAGCTGAAGAGTGGATGTGAGACAGTGGCTCTCTGTGTGAATGTGTGGGTGTGTTCATGAGTGCATCGGTTATAAGTTGGCCTGAATGCAATCGTTTGTGCAGCTAAACTTCTTTACGTTCCTCTCATTCACTCAAGTCATGGTTGTTGAGACTCATCATTTTTATGCATCGSTTTAAAACTGCAATCTCACTTCCTGTTTACAAAAGAAAAGCAGAAGAAAACCCTGAATAATTTCGAGATGAGAGGGTGATTTCTGCCTCCGTGTCCACCTTTTGTTTGAATTTAATCGAAAACCCTTCTTACCATTTGCACTGTACCTTTAAATCCACCGGCAGCATCCATCTGTGTGCAGCTCTGCTCCTCTGCCTGCACACCACAGCATGGCTTTTATTCAGATTTTCAGTTCAGGTAAAGAAAAGAGACTCACTGAGGAGGCAGCGGCCTGGAGGTGTCCCGGGGGTGACGGTGGCCATGCCTCCCCGGGTGGTGCCTCCTCATCCATCAGTCTGCATCCCACTCTGCTCCACGCTGTGCTGCTGGCCGCCTCCCGCTTCTTCCTGTTTCCTACTGCAAAGCATGACGGGAGCAACAAACGCTCTCTCCCCTCTGTGTGTGTGAGGCTTGTAGAGGGGGAGAGGACAAGTGATGCAGGCAGGAGGGAAGGAGGAGGAGCTTCTGTGGATGAGGATTACCATGGTGACTGAATTCTTGTAAATCTGTGTTTTTATCCTCTCATGCTGAAATAAAACACTGCACCTTTGATAACATCTATTGAATTTTCTTTTAATATATACATGTGTTCAAATTTATTTGAAAACTATAAAAAGAAGTCTTGAAATGCATCATTCTCAGCTAAAATTCCAATGTTTTTGGAGGTTTGTGTCAGTTATTCTGCAGGCTGAAGGCTGATAACCTGCTCTGAACTTTGGACATCTTAAGATGTTGATGCATCTCTTTTAAAGTATAAGATATTTTCCTCAAATAGTTTGCTTTGTTTTTTTTTCTTAAATAACTTTGAACCATTTGTCAAGCCTCATTAATGACAACATCATGCTGTGGGACAAACAAGCCCACAGCATGATGTTGCCACCTCTGTGCTTTTGGAAGAAAAGACTTATTAGTTCTATTAGTTCCAGCAAGTTCTGAGTCACTCAAATTCAAAACACAGGCAGACATCAGGAGCTTGATGAGCTATAATCAAAACTCAGAACTTTCCTCTTATAGATTTTGTCAAAAAGGTCAAAAACTTTATTAGACATTTGGGGGCACATTTGATTTTTTAACAGAAGTTTACATTTATTTTGTTACACTTAAGTCATTGTCTTGAGAATTTGTAATCTTACCAAGTAGTTTTTTAATTGTTACTTTTTTTTT